GTTCAAAAAACCGAGGGATCAACAGCCGACAGCTAGGCCTCAGGATCTTGCACTCAGTGGAGGCCATGTGGCATGCTCGACTCCCAAGGCGTGTTCGAAAACCCAAGCACTGACTTCCTGGTTTACGGCATTCGTAACATGAGATGTTAGTCAATAGAAATGTTCAAAAACCCAGGTACCACTGTATTTGCAAATTTTTATACTGCATTAGAGTTTAAAGAACTTTTTAAGTATTACTAGGTCTTCAGGACCCCTTAATGGGAAGATAGCTATTAATTGTCCCATTTTGCAGATGTGCAAACTGAAGGCCACAAAGGGTTGAGACCTTGCTTGAGGCCCCACGGTAAGTCTGTGGTAGAGGAAGTATCCCTCAGGTTCCTGCTATTCTATGTGCTATTTTTTAAAGGCTACAAGCAGCCTTCCTGTAGTCCCTCCCTTCTTTATGCTGAGAGGCCCAGAGCCCACACCTTCCAAACCAGGTGAGTCAAACAAAGCTGGAGCAAATGAAGACGGACTACTCAAGCATCAATACTCATTTTTCAAAAATATTTTAATTGATTTTTTTTTTAGAGAGAGAGGAAGGGAGAGGGAGAAAGAGAAACATCAATGTGAGAGCAGAACATAGATCGGCTGTCTCCTGCACCCAGGGATGGATCCCAAACCAAGGCATGGGCCCCGACCAGGAATGGAACCAGTGACCTTCCAGTCCATGAGACGACGCCCAACTGAGCCACACCAGCCAGGGCAACACTCATTTTAAATACTTCCCAGATGGTCCTAAGACAACAGGTACCAGACTAAGGCCTGAGACAGAATGTGGCTCACTTCAGACATGATGCTCACACTCAAGTGAGGGACCCTAGGCTAGACACTTGGTCCCATTCAGCTTCCTTACCTGTGAAATACAGGTAATGCGGAGAGCTGATAAAAAGATCAAGAATTTATAAATGAGCTTCGGCCCACACCTAAGTTTTACAAGTGCTATGCGAACACGTGACTACTGAATTCAAGTTCATCCATCCCTCAATTGCTCAAGCCCCAAACCTAGGAGTCATCCTTAATTATTCTCTATCCTTCACACTCCACATCCAACCCATATGCCTCCAAAATATTTCCATGAGAACCGTAGTTCTAGACACCTTCACCACTCCCTGGTTAATTCGATCAGCCCCACTAGTCTCCCTGCCTCCTCTTTTGTCCCTCTGTGGCCCATCAAGCAGCAGCCTAAATGAGTTTTCTCAACCATAAATCAGATACTGTTGTTCCACAGCTTAAAAGCTTCATTACACTTGGAGTAAAACCCCAAATCCTTATCAGAGCCTACATAACCCTGGCTGCTACCCCTTGCTAAGACCTTCCTCTCAACACCGCAGCCACACTAGCCATATTTCTTATCCTCAGCATGCTAAGCTCATAATTATCTCAGGTGCTTTGTACCTGCTGCTCCTTCTACTTGAAGTCTCTCCCCTCCCAAAATGCTGAAGGACTGCCTTCTTATCATTGAAGTATCAGCTCAAATGTCACCTCTCTTGAGAGGCCTTCCCCAGCTACCCCGGTTAAAGCCATGTCATATCCCCACCCCTCCTCTACCACACTATCCTATTTTATCTCCCTTAGTAACTACAATTTTGTCTACTTGTTTATCTTCTGTCTCCCCAAAACTACAATACAAGCTCTACTATGCTTGGTCACTGCTGCACTCCCAGTGTCTAGAATAGCGCTAAGCATATAGTAAGCTTTCAATAAATATTCTGGGAACAGCTTGTCCCAAAGGTAATGGTATGCTCCCCTGGTCTTCAAGACAGTGATTTTACTCCCTCTCCCAAATTTGAGATTGGAAGTTTGTTTACTCATCTATTCGATCATTCATTCACTCGATTCAAATCAACAGCTGACTATAGGACAGCAGAGAAAGTACTACAGTGAACATGCAACCAGAATGAACTATTTCATAATTCAAAGCAAGATTTTTTTTACATGGCACTTTATAGAGGCACTTTCAACTTAACTTCTGCCAAATGTCAGACTTCTCGTGGTTAACTGCCACCTGAGATTTACATACAGGTTACACAGTATCCCAAATGTCACATGAAAACTGAGCATCCCAGTTCCTAAAGGCAAAACCAAAGACCTCAGAAATGTATTTGCAAATCCTGACTCCATGTATTTACTGCCCATAGCCCTTTGCACAAAAGTAAATAATAAAAACCAGAAAGTAAATGTGGCTTTTCAATAATTTCACCTCCATTTTCTTCACTCTGTTTCTAATTTTACTACCTGCTAGCAGGTACTGTCAAATGATAGAACACTTTCAACTTATAGAGAGCACTGTTCTCAGGTTATGGAGCATTAATGGCACCCTGGGCAACAGGCTGAATCTTGATGCCAAAGGAAAGCAGTATAGTGCAGTGGCTGGGATCTCATGCTTTGGAACAGAAAGGTGCTGATTCAAATGACATCTGCTAGAGATAAGGCCCTAGGCAAGTTTATTTTGTTTTACTTAATAAGTATATAGCACTTACTACATGCAGGCAGGGTCCTAAATACTCAGCAACTATAATATGATTATTAGGTAAGTCTGAAGTGCTATTTATTACCTGTATCACACAGGTGAAGAAACAGGCATAGAGAGGTGCAGTAACATGCCCAGAGTCACAGCTAGTGAGTACTGGAGTCAGCATTGGAATAAGGCAGTGTGATGTAAGACTCCATGCTCTTGACCATTACATTATGTTTCTTGACCTGTAAGACAGAGCTAATAGGTTTGCCTTATCTCGCAGGGTCATGTGAGATTTCTGGTACACAGTACGGTAAATGTTAGCTACTCTTAGTGGTAGTAGTAATTGCCATCATTCTATTATCTACCTTCACCTTTGGTCCAGCCAAGAGCAGAAGAAAAATATTTTGGCTGAGAAAGATCTCCAAGGCTCTCTGTAGCAGAATATATTAGAATATAGTGGAAACTTTATAAGAACAGGAATTGTCTGTTCTGCTTATCATTGTATCTGAAGCAAGCCATGGATGCTCAGTAAATATGTGGTGAATGAAGTAGGAAAAAATTTAATGCATAGACAGGGTTCCACAGACATGACAACCAAGTAGTTCCATCACATCTCTAACGGAGCTAAACACAAAAGAGGTCAAGGTTTTCAGAGGACAGTGTTAGCTGGCCATCTGGCAATTATTTAACACAGCCTGGCTATTGGGAGGCAGAGTGGTATAATGCTGTTCGTTCATCTTAATGAACAAATAGACCTGGATTTTAATCCTGACTCTGTTCCTGGAAGTCACCCAGGCCCTCAAGGTCTTGAGTTTTGTCTATGTGTAAAAGAGGAAGTTGGATTACATGATGATCATAAACTTTCTTGTGACTTTATAACACACTCATCATAACAATCTGAATGGAAGCCAAATGACAGATGAAGAAACTAGGATACAGAACTAACTTGTTCAAGGTCACAGGGTCAGGGTAGAATATGAACTATAGCCCAGATCTTTTTCTATATTGGTCTAACACTCATGTTTTCCAAGATCCTTTTTCAGTTCAAAAATACTGATATTAGTCCTCTCTTCCAAGCTCAATAAACCTGTAATCATTTATCTTAAATAATCTTTCCTGACTTCACTACATCAGGAGATAGCAGGATCAGGAAGAAACAACTACAGTATTTCCACAGTGTTAACCTGGAGAGTCAAAAGATCTGAAGAGGCAGTTAGGGAAAAAACCCTGTCTTTCCCCAGAATTGAGAGATCAGAAGTATTTTAAAATAAATGACTTCACTTTACCCATATGGCTTAAATTTAAACAGTCATAAAAAAAAACACAAAAAAACCTTCTAGTAACATAATGCTTCCTGAGTACAGCATGTAACAATTTATTTTTAAATCCAAGTTGTGCCGCTTGATTCAAAGTAGATTCACAAAGTTGACAGACTTTCAGAGAATATCTACAAATAATTGCTTTATTTTTATTAACAAAATACATGCTTGATATTGAATACATGCTTTGAGTATAGCACCTTCCTAGGGCTGTCATGTTAAGAGTGAAAAATCTATCTGGCAGTCACAGTCAGTTTTCTAGATGGTTCATAACAGGAGAGTCAAGGTCAAACTGTTGAGTCTCTTTACCCCTCCATTTAGTAATTGAAAAGCAACTAACTGTGAGCTCAAAATACTCCATTCTGGTACTCTCAAAAATACAAACGTTAGCTCAAAAATCACACTCTGGCTCAGAAAGTTCTGTGAGGACAGGCTGACATGAACAAGGAGAAGAAAGGGGCTATAGGACGAGATGCTCAGGCCACTTTGGCGACAACAGTAACTTTCACCTACTTTCTAGTAGTTTCATTACTTATCAAATGAGAATAGTCACCTCACCGGATGATTATGAGTCAAAATATGATAAGAAAAGTCTTGCAATATTGTGCAAAGGTTAGAGATTACTGTTATTATTTACTACATCTGGGGCCGTAACACCTTTTGCAATCCTTGGCTATGTGTTCCGCAGGATCCTCAAAAGACCGAACAGGAGTCTAGGTTCTTCTCCAGACTCCAGGCCTGGCAACTGTACATGCACCTGGCTAGCAAGTCTGCTGCTGAGAGATGAGAAGCGAGGCCTCAGGCTCCGGGCCTAGCAGGCTCAACAACGCCCATTCCCCCAGTCACCTTGTCCTCACCTTGAGGAACGGAAAGAAACCCTACAGGGAACGAGAGTGCAATCCTCAAAGAGGAGAAAGAGGTGCCTCCACTCTCCACCCGGCCGCCGCCGCTTAGACCCACGCTGCCCGCGGGGCCGGGACAGGGCTGGGGGAGCTGACAGAGTTGGGAAGCCTTGACCTCAGGAGCTGGAGGACCCGGCACGGGCCCTGGGCCCGCGGCCGGGACAGGTACACAAAACGTCACCGCAGGTCGGGCCTGCCAGGCCTCGCCTCGCCCACAGCCGCAGGCACACTGGGAGGCACCCCGCCCCCGTGAACCCAGAGGACCCTGAGCTCGCTCACCTGCAGCCGGGTCACCAGGAGGCTGTAAGGCGCCATTTTGTGCACTGACAAAGATGAGGTCGCGTGAAAGTGACGTGCCACACGGTGTTTTTAAAGCCTCCGGGCAGGGGGCGTGGCCCGAAACGAAAGGCCTCACGGGGAAGGCGGGGCTTCCTCACACGCTCGGGAGCCCCGCGAGCGCAGTGGGCGGAGCTCTGGAGTTAGCGACCCACAGGGGAGACGGAAAAGCTGCATAAAAACTCTTGTGGCAGTAAATACCTGCACAGAGATGTCTTATCGAGGGCAGATTTCATATTTGTACTTCAGTTTGTCTCTTCCATCCAAATCGGGCAAAGGCACTTTTTTATGAGTCACAGACTAGCCACGACTTGGCTCCCCAACTACAAGGGAAACTAGTCTTGGGAACTTAAGGGTTTTGATCGCGCGAGAGTGAGCGGGACTTGGTGAAAATACTGCAAACGCCTATGGAAGTCTTAGAGGACCAATCACGGCAACAAGGAGGCAGGAACAATGGAGGTTAAAGGTCGGGCGGAAGTTCCCGGAGCTTCCGGTGGCCGGCTTGAGTGCGAACTATGGCTAAACATCACCCGGACTTGATCTTTTGTCGCAAGCAGGCTGGCGTTGGTGAGACAGGTTCCATGACCGTGGCTCTGTGGGTTCGGGTGGTACTAGGAGTTGGGGAGTCAGGGGTTCCCATCTCCTCCTAGGGTCTTGCCGCCTAGGCACCACGTTTCCCGCCTGTCGGCGGGTAGTGTCGAAGCGCGCAGGTTCGCGGCCTCCAATGGAAAGGAGGCGGGGCGTGCTGCTGGGAGCCGGAGGCTAGTGGCCGGGACGGGGTCGGGAGAAACTCCTTGCCCAGGACCAGGGAGGGGTTTCAGGAAGGTGTGGCTTTGGAAAGTTTATGAGAATGAAGTGGATAAAATCGCTCAGGGCTCACTGCAGTCCCTGCTTCTGTTCCCAGCCCAAGCTCAAGGATGTTTTTCCCTTCCGTCAAAATCTTAATTCTAATTGTACTCTACCATCTTTCATCTTGCAGCCATCGGAAGACTGTGTGAAAAATGTGAGTGGAACACGCCCTCCCCAGCACCCCACCTCTTGCACTCAGTTTCTGTGGAGCCAGTAAACGGGCATTTCCTGTGGTGCCGCATAGAGGGCTTTATGTGGATGTTTCTGGAAGCATGTGAACACTGAATGGGGCACCACAACCAAAGGCCTCCTCCACCTCGCTACTCCAGCTTGCACATTTTAGACACTATGTTTAGGTTTTGAGGAAATTTGTCTTTGGATAGGAAGTAGCATGACCCCCATCTCCACCACACACAGTTTTTGCCAGTAATTATATGGACTTACCATCTACCAGGTGCTGTTCTAAACGCTTTACTTGTTAATTGATTAACTTTTTTTTAAGTGTTGTGGGGATTGAGGTGGACACTAAGTAAGCCAAGTTTTGTAATGCCAAAGTAGAAAGCCCTAAATCACTGTCAAAAGGAGATTAGTGTTTTCCCCCATAACAGGAGAGCAAGAACTTGAGGTACTTGCAAGTGGGCATAACTCCATTCTCTTTTCCTCACAGGTGATGGCAAGTGTGTGATCTGTGACTCCTATGTGCGTCCCTGCACCCTGGTGCGCATATGTGATGAGTGTAACTATGGCTCCTACCAGGGGCGCTGTGTGATCTGTGGAGGCCCCGGAGTCTCTGATGCCTATTATTGTAAGGAGTGCACCATCCAGGAGAAGGATGTGAGTATGTTCTAAGCTTTCCATCTGATCTTTTATTTAAAAACACTTTGCCAACCATGGCAAACTCCTATGGTCTGTGGAGATTACTATGTTCAGTTAGTCACCTAAGTTATAATTTTTCTTCAAATTCTGAGCCAAACTGGGTGTAGTCCAATAAAAGGCAGTTATTTTCCATCAAGGGTAAAAACGCAAGAGAAGCAAATCTTTGTCGACACTGGCAATTTGGAGAGCCTACTCTCTATTCCTTTGATGTCTCTCTGATTTTTATTCAGACGCAACACCCTGCATTTTGTATGTCCTAGCACAGTGCATAGTGTGTAATAGCCACTCAGTAATTCTCTTTACTATCATTAAGGACTGCTTGGGTGGAGGTAGTGACATTTAAATTGGGGACAAGTCAGGTTGATTTCGTTTTTAAGCGGTTAAAGAATGCCTTTGGTTTGATATTGTGGAATTGATTGTGATTCTGTCTCATGACATTTTCGGCCCTGGACATTATGTTGTGGCAGTGGCTAGCTATTCAATTGCCTAAGTCAATGCAAGATAGAGGGCGTATAGATCTATAGTTAGGGTAAGTTTTACCATTTTTCTTTAGCAGACTTCTTTGGGGGGAAATCCCATGAATCAGCTTGTTTTCTTCTTATGACACAATAAAAGGGAGTGTGGCACAATACCAATAGGCTAATAGAAGGTATCTGGTTACCTAATCTAGGATAAGGCAAAAAATGTATAATTCTTAATATTCCCATGAGCAAAGAGTAGATAGTTTATAGATGTTATCTCCCTGATTCTTCACAGTAACTTTGTTAAATAGGAATTATTTTTATCCCCATTTTACAGTCTCTCATCTAACTAATAAGTGGCAAGCAGACTGCCTGACTAAACCTAGTGGTGTCCCCATTACCCCAAGTTGTCCTTTCATAACTCTTTTTGGTAGAATGTGCCTCTGTTGAGAAACAACCCAGCCACTTCAGCAGTCTATGCATATGGATCCTGTCTACCCCCAGTAAGTGTGATATATCAGGCCAGATAAGACTGTTTATTAAGTTTTCTATTATTTAGGGAGATGAGAGGGGTCATAAAGTATGACAAACATAATTTCAGTTGGTGGTTTAAACTTCCTCCTGCCCTAAATTCTGATTTGCGTTTATTTACCTTTGGCTGTCGAATCATATCCTGCTTCTCTGATCCACCAGCTAGATTCCACTCCTTTAGAGAAAGGACCTTGGATTGTGGATTTCTATCTTGTTTTCCCCACTTCTTGGTACAGCGTCTGGCATGTAGTGTAAGCATGGGACATATTTTTGGTGCTGCCCCTATAAGTCATCCATAGGAGTTCCCCCTACAGATTGTCTGTTACATAGTAGGTGTTTGGTAATTATTTATAGCCTATATAAGCAGTGAAACCATGGTGAGACAACAGCAGTGAATAGGAAAGTACAAATAATCTTAAACTAGCTAGAGTCCATTTAGGATATTTTCTTGAACTTTTTCATGGTTGTAGCTAGAGTTGTTATCTGGCATAAGCTTGCAACCGGAGAGTGCTTAATAAATGTTAATTGGTATGACTCATTTGCATGTGGTATGTGACCTGATACCTTTGGATCCTCTTGCCTCATTCTGTCCCTGAGCATTATCCTAGATGTCACCTCCCCTATTTCACATTATACAGGAATGTTTTGAGGATATTTGAGATGACACCTAGCTTATATTTACTCAGCAAGTTTCCAAGGAACACAAAGCAGTCCAGTGACATGATCTAGCCTCTCAGCCTACAGATCACTGTGTAGATTAAGTGCCTAAGACTTTTTCCTATGCAGAAATCTTGCCACAACCCAAGCAACCCTCATTATTGTTCTCTTCCTGCAACTTTCATCATTTTTAAGAGAATTAACCAATAAACGAAATTGAGTGTTCTCTAGTTTTTCAAAACTTTGAGAATACTCAGGAGTCAGGGATAGTACCTGTGGGCTTTGCCATCAGAGGACTAATTTGTAGTTTCTTCTAATGCAGCAGCATCTGATTCCCCCCATAATCCTTGGTTCCTTTTCTCCTTTTATTTATCATTTTCCTCAGCTGTCCCAACCAGAAAACAAAATAGCAGCTAATATTTATGGAGCTTTTGCTGTGTGCCAGGTACTGTGCTGAACATTCTTTTCCAAAAATTCTATGTGATATAGGTGAGGAAATTAAGGCTTAGAAGTGTTAGGCAACTTGGCTCAAGGTCGCATGGCTAATAAGTGGCAGATCTAGGACTAGAATCCAGGTCTAACTCACTCAGTATTTCTCAGCTTTTTTTTCATTATCACCCCCCCAAGGAGAAAATTTTAAATTTATTTATTTTTTAAATTTTTTTTTTTTAAATATATCTTTATTGATTTCAGAGAGAGGAAGGGAGAGGGAGAAACATCAATGATGAGAGTCATTGATCAGTCGCCTCCTGCACAAACCCCTTACTGGGGGTTGAACCTGCAACCTGGGCATGTGTCCTGACCGGGAATCGAACCTTGATCTCCTAGATCATATGTCGATGCCCAACTGCTGAGCCATGCCCAGGCCGGTGAAAATTGAAAATTTAAATTTTCTCCCTAACAAGAGGAATTAAATACTAAGATTTTGTTGGGTAAGGAGGAGCTTTAGATCATAAACCACTATAATGTCACAGGTGTTTTCATTCCCTTTGAGGATGCATGGTCTAACTCAAAGCACTTAACTCTACCACCTCACTATATTCTTAGGGTGGCTAAGGATATGCCTCTCACTCTTGCTATTTCTACCATTCTCTTCTCCCCATTTCAGTGAACATCAGAGCAGTTAGATAGATGCAGAAGATAATCAGTACTTTTCAAAGTTAATTCAGAAATTTGTCATTATCTGTAACTGCCTAGACCATGTGAAAAGTTTGGTTCTTTCCTTTGTGAAGCCCTGTTAGAAAAAACACCAGACTGGAAGAGAGAAAGCCCTTGTTCAAGACTTGGTTTTGCTACTAGCATGCTGTGTGTGGCTTTGGGGAAATGTACAAGAAGGAAGTAATAAACTCTGTTACCTCATGAATGCAGTTACTGAGAGTTTGAAGGTCTTTAAAAATAAAATTTCAGCTCGGCCAGCGTGGCTCAGTGATCGAGCATCGACCTGTGATCCAGGAGCTCTCTGTTCGATTCCCAGTCAGGGCACATGCCCAGGTTACCGACTGGATCCCCAGTAGGGGGCGTGCAGGAGGCAGCTGATCAGTGGCTCTCATCATTGATGTTTCTATTTCTCTCTCCCGCTCTCCCTTCCTCTCTGAAATCAATAAAAATATATTTTTAAGAAGCTGAATAAAATAAACTTTCAGATAGATGATGTGATGCTACTCCTAGGTCCCAAA